ATATGAATAGGAGATAATGCTTGTAAATTTGGATTCATGGTTTGGCAGTTAGGATAGATTCCTATTAACTTATCTTCTACTCTTATTAATTTGTTAAAATTTGTAATTTATAGTACATTTGGGTTGAGGAAAAGAGAAGAAAATGTTTTCTAACTAACAAAATTAAAATGTTTAAAAAACTTTTATTTCTCCTTCCTTCCCCTGTTTTTCTTCTATTCCCTTTCATCTAAATATACTAAAAAAACACTAGGAAGCACCATTAAAAATAATATAAAAAAATTGAAAGCATATGATAATTCTTTAGAAGTATAATTCATTAATAATAAATTTTTAACTAATTAAATTATAAAATTTTAAATAATATATTATTTAATTAATCAAAAAATCTATTTTCTCTATTTATTGCTCCCAAACTAATCATATTATAGATAATATTTTAATAATTTAGACCTTGAGTTATCAAAACTAATATGTTTTATTTATTTATTTTAAATTATACCATACGACATATAGTGCGTTTAGAATTATTGTGAAGTATTGTGGTTGTGTTTGTGATTATACTAAATTGTATTATATTATAATTATAATTAAAAATTATTTTAGTATTTGATTATTTATTATTTAAAAAATATTATATAATTATATATATAAAAAAAAAAAAAAAAACTCCAAACCACAATTACAAAGCAACCATCATCTTTCTCACCTTTTTACGTAGGAGCTGACCTAAAACTCCAATCTAAAGTTGGTAGTGCAGCACACTTTTTTTCCTTTTTATCACTACACTTCTATTCAGTACTCACTGCCAGGCACTTTGCGGAAGAGAAAAATAATCTGAAAATAGTGTGGGAGCACTATTGAAATTCCAAAGATGCCCCTTTCCTAAGTAAAGTTAGAATTCCCTATTTCCACGCCCCGTACTGCTTGATACAGGCTTCCTGTTTCTCCCCTCGCAACTCTTGCTTGCAGAGCCTTCTCTTATTCCTCTAGACTAGACTAGATTCACTCTACCGACTTCCGGTCCAGCTCCGCCGATGACTCTGGTGACTCCTCCGACGTTAGATGTAATAATTATCCGATGTGTTATCATTCTCTGTTCTTCTCTCCCTCACCTCAATTCAATTTTGATACTGAAACCGATGTATCTTGAAAAGTTTTTGATGTTTCTCTGAATCGAGTTAGAAATTTCTGAGTCGGAAAATTTTCTGTATCTGGTTACCACTGCTTGAATTCTTAGGGTTTCGATCAGCAGATCCGTGGTCTCACGCATTGACTTGCTTTTCTTCTTTGCAGCAGGAGGACGATGAGATGTTAGTACCGCACTCTGACTTCCCCGACGGTCCTCGGTCAATGGAAGGTAGAAGTTTAATTCAATTATTACTCTGTTTGTTTCCCGAGAATTCTGTTAGGAAAGTTGAAACTGTGGATTTCTGGATTGATTGTCAATACTTTGGGGTTCGGTAGTTCAATTGAGCTAAGGTGATTGGAACTTGCTAGTTTCTATTGAGTTCAGTTGAGCGAAACGTGGCATTCTTCTTGCGAGTTCTTTGCCATTTGCCAATTTGATTCCATCGAATAAGCTTTCATCTGTCAACTAATGTTTGATATTGTTCTTCTTGGAGTTTTGAGTTCTTTGCTACCATGGCACAAAACATTAAAGTTCATATAGTGAAGAGGATCTGTGGATATCCGGATTTTTTAATCTAAAACATTTTTAATGTACTTTTAATTAATTTCAGTAGCACCGGCTGAAGCTGCAAGCGCTGTGGACACTCAGGCAGTGGAAGATCCACCATCAGCTAGGTTTACTTGGACAATTGAGAATTTCTCAAGGCTTAATACGAAGAAGCTCTACTCTGACGTTTTTGTTGTTGGAGGCTATAAATGGTGGCTTATTTAATATATTTGTTGTTGGCTTGTTCATACTGCCAATGAATTATGAGTTTGCTCTGATCAGCCACTAAGATTTGCAATGAATTGTATCTGACAGGCGTATACTTATTTTCCCCAAGGGAAATAACGTGGATCAATTGTCAATGTATCTAGATGTCGCAGATTCAACAAGTTTGCCTTATGGATGGAGTAGATATGCACAGTTCTGGTTAACCGTTGTCAACCAAATTTGTGGCAAATACTCAATTAGAAAAGGTATGGGTTGTAGTGCTGTTATTTCCATAAAAGGAAGAATTACCTACATGTTGCTTTTGTTACTGCAACATTCTGGATGCCATTTTACCTTCCCCTGATATTTACAAGCAGTTAATCTTCCATATTTTCAATTTTATCTATCAAACTTACCATATATCCTGGTCATCTTTTATTCTTGCTTTGGCAGGCTGCCTTAAAGAAGATGTTGTTAAGAGAATTCTGTTTTTTAAAGGATGGGACTTTAAGGAGGAAATACACATTAGTTTTGAAGCTATATTTCCTTGTGTTTTTCTGGCTAGATGATGTAGGGCTTAAATTTTTGGTTTAGGCATTTTAAAATGTTGTGTTCAAGTGGAAAATTTTTTAATCTCTGTTCTATAAAAATTACATGAAAATTTTTTAATCTCTGTTCTATAAAAATTACATTAGTAATTTTTTCAAGCCTTAAGACTTTTAGTTGTTTTATGCATGTTCCTTTTATGACAGCTTCTCTAGTTGGCAGCTTCTTGATTGAAATATGAATCTTAGTGGGTTAGTGAATAGGCTTTGTGCTATTCTGTCCTGTCTTCTCTTGGGATTTGTACTCGGATGGTCATTAATGTTTGACACTTTTACTGCTTTTACTTCTTGCAGAGACACAACATCAGTTTAATTCACGTGAAAGTGATTGGGGCTTTACTTCATTCATGCCTCTTGGTGAATTATATGACCCTACTAGAGGTTTTCTTGTGAATGACACTTGTGTAGTAGAAGCTGATGTGACCGTGCGTAGGGTTATTGACTACTGGTCACATGACTCTAAAAAAGAGACTGGTTATGTCGGACTCAAGAACCAAGGAGCTACTTGCTATATGAATTCTCTCCTTCAAACACTGTATCACATTCCATACTTCAGAAAGGTCAGTGTATTTGCTGTTGATTTTTGTCTGGATAAAATTCTCAATGAAATATAATATTGGCATCTCCTTGCAGGCTGTGTATCATATGCCAACAACTGAGAATGACATGCCATCAGGGAGCATTCCTCTGGCTTTGCAAAGTCTCTTTTATAAGCTTCAATATAGTGATACTAGTGTAGCCACAAAAGAGTTGACAAAATCTTTTGGTTGGGATACATATGATTCATTCATGCAGCATGATGTGCAAGAACTTAATAGGGTTCTCAGTGAAAAGCTTGAAGACAAGATGAAGGTATGGAGAATGTTTTGAGAACTTAATAGGATTGTTTCATACCCTAGAATTGCATGATTTGTCTAAGAATGTGTTAGGATCTGTGAAATTTCCTTTTTCCTCTTTGTTTCTTCTATTGGCCTTGAGAACTTAATAGGATTCTTTCATATCCTAGAATGGCGTGATTCATCTGAGAGTGTTTTAAGACCTATTTGAAATCTCTTTTTCTCACTTTATTTTATCCATTGGCCTAGGGAACTGTTGTTGAGGGAACAATTCAACAATTATTTGAAGGGCATCATATGAACTATATTGAGTGCATCAATGTTGACTACAAATCAACGAGAAAGGAATCATTTTATGGTATGTTTTTGAAGGTTACATGGTTGAATGGCATACCCAAAATTCGATTTTTGTGGGCCTTACGGTGATTTTGATAATATTCTTTATAGATCTTCAGCTCGATGTCAAAGGATGTAAAGATGTTTATGCTTCTTTTGACAAATACGTTGAAGTGGAACGTCTTGAGGGTGACAACAAGTACCATGCAGAACAACATGGGTTACAGGTGAGTACTACT